AAATAATTGTTTTTTTTTTTTTGTTTTTTTTGACAGTTGCTCACAGGTCTTTTGCCTACACTGTTGCGATATTGGATGGGTGTTTCTCAGTTTACTTTAGGGTCATTGTCATAATTTTTATATAACATTAAATTATTCAATTTTTGGCCGTGCAGATATAGTTAAAACATTTTTTCTTGTGTTACTGAAATAAGATTTAAGCTAGTTGCCAAGGCAAAATTTCTCATTTTCATTTTATTTAACTTGAAGTAAAATAGATAAAACTAATAAATAATAATAATAATAATTAAAAAATAAATCCTATATAGAGTTTTTTTTTTTAATGACACGCAACAAAATTACTCAAATTAAACCAGAAAATATGCAAATCAAATATAATTCTAAATATTACCAAAAACTACAATAGTATATCAATTATAAGTGAGTGACGTGACATGGCCAAGTATGGTAACCCATACTAGGAATTAGTGCTCTGCATTTAACCCATCCTAAGTGCACACACACAGCAGTGAACACACACACACCGTGAACACACACCCGGAGCAGTGGGCAGTCATATATGCTGCGGCGCCCAGGGAGCAGTTGGGGGTTCGGTGCCTTGCTCAAGGGCACCTCAGTCGTGGTATTGAAGGTGGAAGAGAGCGCTGTACATTCACTCCCCCCCACCTACAGTCCCTGCCGGTACGAGACTCGAACCTGCAACCTTTGGGTTACGAGTCTGACTCTAACCATTAGGCCACGACTTCCCCATATATTATACTAGTATACTAAAATAACACTAACAGTGAAGTGAAAACGAGAGTATCTTCCTGGTTTTTATGTAAATTTATGATGTTTATGTTTGCATTTACTAGCCAAACTTGAGTGTTTAGTTTTATTTGTGGTCTTTGCAAAGATGAGCATATTCATGTATATATTTGTGAAATTCTGGTGATAAACTGATTTAATTATGCCTTATTAGTAAGACTTGATGCCTTATTAGTAAGACTTGACTTTAGACCTGAATCCTATTATTTGCAACTTAAATAGATTAATTGAAATATGGAATAAAACACGGTCTTAATTATAAGATTTGTCCAGTAGTGTCATTTCAGATCCAGGAAAGTAGAACCTTTTTATTACCTTTTAAATTTAAAATGAAAGTTTGCTTAACAATAGGGCTGGGCGATATTGATAAAAATAATGTTTGTCAACCAATTCAGTATAGCCTATATCTTGTGACTGAAGCAGCCTATTTGGCTTTTCATTTTAACAAAACATCCATTGTAGTCAGTTTAAATGTTTAATGTGAGTAAAACAGAAAAGTCGCGTTTAAAAATAGTTTTTACAATAAATGTCTCGTAGTCAAATTTTTTGAAACTAGAATGACTAGTTCTTTAGAAACAGAAGTGCATTACAATAATGTGAATTTTCACTATGTTGTTTATTTTATAGCCAGGAAATGACTATAGTTTGGATATGTATTTATAGGGTGCAATATGTAGCGCTTGCTTTACCAGAATCTTTTTTCTAATTTGTGCACAACACATGTTGAAGTGCTTTAACATGGTCCCAGGAAATTTGAGTTGTTTTTTTCCTTCTTTTTTGATGTATGTGTAAGCTTATATCCATCGTCACCCAATAGTTCATACGCAGCACATAGACTGACAGAACAAAAGCCCAGAGTCATTAAATGCCACAACACACACATCAGTCTCTCGTACCACTGAATTGTTAAATGATGCTGTACAACATCATCATTTCCCTAACTAGACAGCTCCACAATTCATCCAGAGTGCATTTCTTCTCTTATCGGGAGCTCCGCTTTTCAGACACGTCATTTCCGAGTAATTCACACATGCTGAAACTTGTTTAAAAAAAAGAGCAGAGCGACACAAATAACATCACCGTCCTCTGAGACAGGATATGCTCTAATAATAAAAGTCTGTCAGAGAAATTCACAGTATTGAGTACAAAACGAGATTTCAGCACGGCCATAAAAATGCCCTTTGTGCTTCAGCGTTTCCCACAATTCAACCCGAGCAAAATGATCATTCTCTTGGGAACGGGATCTGCCGTGCTTTTTCAAGTACTGTATGTTCAAGTCAATGAACTCCAAAAATAAAGCAGTCATACTTTCAAAAAAGAATTTCATATCATCTACTCGCACTTAGTTGTGTGTTTCAACATCTTTTAAAACGGTGATTAGTTGATTTGAAACTTTTGGGAAGTTGACAAGCTGTGGTGTGACATGTTATACCTATTTTTAACCCATTTTTGTAATCCTTTCTTAATTGCTATGCATGCTTATTTATGCACTCATAATAATTAAGAGACCAAATGTTTTGTCTTGTTTCCCAGTCAAAACATGTATAAATGTCCTTAATATCAAATGCTTGAATTAAATTTATCGTGCTTTTTTTTTTTTTTTCAGAGAATATATCTTAAGTTCATTTTTCTGGCAAATTGTTTTTGTCTTGTTTTAAACATAAACCTCTCTCAGTTCTGTTAGATTTATGCGTAAAACAAGAATTAAACCATTTGCCAGTGGTGTATTAAAATAAAAATAATTCAACATATGT